TCCGTGACCTTTTCAGGAACACAGGCATGTAGCTGTGCAGTCATATCTCATATTGAGCTCCCTAATGCTCCGACTGGATGCTGTGCTTGCTGCTACGTCGCTCGTGTCCTTGCCTGCCTGCTCGCTATCGCCTCGGGCCATCGGGGCCCACAGCGCTGTCCACAAAAAAAAGAAAAAAGAACCCATCCCCTGTAATTGAAGAAGCCACTTTAATGTGACATGCACATGCGGGCGTAGAAAGGTTTGCAAGTATACACACTTACAAATGACAGTGTACTCACATGCATAAATGTACACATGAACGAATACACAATACATTGCTGTTTGGTAGACGTTATTGGGGGGTTGGGCGAACTTCGGTGATCCCACGCCGACACACACTCGTGCACACACACTGACCGTAGACCAATAGTTGCCCTCTGACTCTAGACGACCCCTCCTGGGCTACTGAAGCACTTAGCTCCTCTCCTGGTGTTCCTGTGTTGCTGTTTTGGGTTCCTGTTCAGGAGCTGAGGGTCCTATTGTTGTGTGACAGCGGTTCCTGTGTATCCTGTCACAGTCCACTACCCCCTCTGTCCGCCTTCCTCTTTAAATCTTCTTCTTCCTTCGCCTGAGTTTAGATTTTTGTCTCGGATGGCCTCATCCTCACTTTACTGTAGTATTTGCACGACGTGAAGTGCTACATTTCATTGTCTTTTTTTACAGAGAGTAAAGATGCAATTACCCTCAAAAGTATTTCACCTTTGATACCATAGCTGCCCTGGATGGCACCTGGCAAACAACCAGTAGTAGTTTGCAGTTCCTTTCTGCCACATATAAGATTTGTGAGTAAAGAGGCCATGCTGACTCATTTACTCTGATACATGAAATTATTGTAAACTTAAACGGCACTTACAGTAGAGGGCAAAGACCTGCCAAAGCCAAGGCTGAGTTCAAATGCCCCTGGGATAATCTTGTTTCCTGAGTTTGAATGTTATTCTTCCGTCTAAGGTGTGTCCATGAGCTTTAAGGTGTCCTCTTTGGCGTAGTTAGTCATTATAGTAGTCTGGATAGGGTTATTTCGTCTAAAAACGAGAGGCATTACGGAATATTTCCGATTTAACTTTTCAACAATATTTAAACACCAAGTTATTTATTTGTAATTGGTAGGAAACAAAATGGCGCTGGTATGGCTTTGATCAGGAGGTACCATCATGTTACTGCTTTACATTAAGATGGAGAACACATCCTACATGATTAACAGCTAGCCTCCCAGACTCAGGTTATCATTAGCACTCCAATCTGTGCTGTTTGACTCTCAACAGGTTTACTCCCCACCAACCACGCTGCTGTTGCAAAGCACCTTGGGTGTTCCTAAACTCGCCGCTGGTAACCCATTACCTAGACATACGGAGACAAACGGCACGAAGGTACGCAAATGTTGATGCAATCAGGTTGGGAAAACATCTCCAGGGCCACCACTCAAACCCCCTCTTTCCCTCCTTCCCCCACTTCTTTTAATCTCTCCCTCTCTCCTTCAATTATCACAATGTCACTAGCACCACCACTGGGAAACTTTTGGTGAATTAACAGGAAAAGAGCTTTGCAGCCGGCGCTACACTCCGTCATTGTCATGGCGGTGGCTCTGACAAAACAGTTTGCGTACCTGCTTAAGTATTACAGAAATTAACACCTCCCTTCCAGGTACAGTAATCAACGGGGTGACGGGAGACAATTAATTAGGTCCATCTGCATCACTGCCTTTACATAATTAATGGGGCTCATTACTGAACTAGTATGATGTGGAGCTAGCTAGCACACACACTAGCTTAGAGCATGATAGTACTTAACACGCTATGAAAGTGAAGACTTTTGTTTGTTTCATTTGGTACAAATGTTATTCTGATTGACTCATTTGCAGTGTGAACAGCAGTTACATAAACAAATGGAAACCTTTTCTTTTGGCTGTATTCAAAGCTTTTGTTAGCCTCCATGCTAACCACCTTAACACAAAGACACAGTCACATTGATTGTGATACAGAACAGCTGCCAAGTGACAACAACACTAAAGTAGGATATAAGAACATTCATTCATTATAAAGAATATTTCTTTAATTAAAGCACACTTGGTATTTAAAGGACGCTACTTATGTAAATAGCAGTGTGAGGTAAGTCTTGAAGAATTTCAATCATGACAAATTGGTGGTTGAGCTAATCCCTCCCAACTCAGATGTTAACCACAACACTCGAGGCATTTGATCTTTGATGGAAAGTCATTATTTTTCCTTCCTTCCTGCCTACAAATCAAATTAAAGAGTACACAGGTAGATGGATCTGTGACTCATTCACACTCTTTGCTAAAGCTCCACTGCTGACATCTTAACCTCAGTCATATTTAAACCTCAGAGGAACTCAAATGATCATATGGCATGCAGGAATCTATAATATAAAGTTAATTGGCGAGCAAGTAAAAATTAGATTATGTTTAATGACCGCCTTGTGGAAATTACAAGTTTGATAATCATAGGCCATTTGCAGGTTGGTTATTGAATGTGGATGTTTCAGTGCTGGAGGGAGATGCAGCGTCAGACAAAATGTGCTGACTTGAGAGTTACAGCATCCGGAAAACAGTTTTTAAACTTTGATTTTGTTTTATTTGCTTTAGCTAAATCCTGTATTGTTATCTTGCCAAGTGTAAAGTTGTGAAACCACATGGCATTGAGAAACTTCTAAAAATCTTTTTACTATTAATGCCAACATGTATAGCCTGTTATCTTAAATGAGGTCTGCTCAACATAAAACATGACACTCTTCTTGTCCCATTGCTGCATACCTTACCCTTTATTAAATACTAAATGAACCTGAAAAAACATTCACTTGTGATACTATAGTTGCCCTGTATTGCACCTGACAAACAACCAGTATCAAATTAGTCTAAAACATTTGTGCAGTTTCTTACTGCAACATATCTGATTTGTTGAAAATGTCATATCCTTTTAAGAGCGTGCTGTTCAATAACTTTCTAAAATTGGCTCAATATCAGACGGCTGCTGTTCCTGTGAGCACCTTGTTTTCCTTCTCCTCATTCCTCCTCTCTCTCACTCAGCTAATGAAGGCCTCGTGGCCCACTGTTATTAAAATTACGCCCTTGCCTCTGATATTAATTGGTTCCGTAATAAGGAATGCGTCGGATTCATTATTTAATTGCAAGGGCATATTTGGAATACAGTTTCTGAAATGTATTTTTAATGAAAAACACTACATCCTGACCTAATCATATCAACCTTATTCTATCTAATTAAGGATGCAAAAAATCATTAGAGTTGCAAAATATTAGCTTCAGCTCTGTCGGGCTGCTCCTTTGCTCGCCTTCATGAATATATTTTTTTCCCTGTCTATGATAAATAGTTAATGAGGGAAAAATGACAAAAATTAGCATGAAGGCAAATTAGTCTAATAGGGATATGTCTTTGCTGAGTTGGGAAAGTGACCCTTTTCACAGGAGAAATTGTTCCAATAATTATGAAATAATGGCACGGCCCATCTTATTTTGATGAAAAATGGTCGGCTTGAATAATGTAAAAATCATAAAATGCAATAACCCTACATTTTCATCATGCTGGAGAATGTGTTAGCATTTTATCAGTTTAATAACGGCAAATTAAGGATAATATGAATTATGCTGTAATTGTTGCTGTGGAGGAAGATATGCAGTAATGCAGGGATGATTTAGCCGAGCCACCACAGCAAGAGGCCATCAGCGGCTAAATGAAGCATTTTCTTAATCACAAACTTTAGGGGTGTAATTTCTTTCAAAGTCTCCAAACATTGGGAGGTTCAATTCTCTCCCAATAAACAGGTCCATCATCATCCCATTAGCAGTGGTGTAGTCACCTCTCTGAGGCAGGGCTGCACTTCATTAAGGCTTAAAAACAGGTGGGAAAAGAATAGCAGATTAACTCTTTATTTATGTAGGACGCTTATTGAATTTAATAGGATTTTTTAAGACAGTTTCAAGTAAGATAAATGTATTTTTAGGTACAAATGAAGTAAATAATACTCATCATATTCTGTCTTATTCATCCCATTCTTCTCAGTGATTCTGAATTAGGAGAACAGGAAGTGAGGTCATTCGTGTCCGGTCAAAATGTTGGTTACTATTTTTGTATTTTCTAGCTATTTTTGTAGACACCAACTGTTGAACTGCAGTCAATCATTCACCAGGGTTTGACTGAAGTTTCTGGTTCCATTTCACCCCTTCACAGCCGTGTGAACTTGTGTGAGCAAAGAGCAGCGGAGTTAATGAACATGGAGAACACCGAGCGATGTGTGCCACTAACACATTCTGCAGGATAAATTAAAGGGTGGCTGCAGTTTGATCGCTGCGTTCCATTTTCCCTTATCTCAACAAGTCACATTTTCAATCACTATGCAAAGATTTTACATCGGGTGTAGACTCGGCGCTAATACACTGCCCTTCCCTGTGTCATCTCCATCGACCTACCGGCTGTCAAACATCCGACAGCCTCTCGTGAGCAATAGTAATTTCATGGGGATATGCATTTATAGGAACTGGGATCCTGCATGTCCCTAGCAGTTGTCTGGAGAATGCCCAGTGTCACATATGTATCCCAGTATGTGTGTTGATTGAGCAGTCTTACTTTAATGAAATATCTTCGGAAATTGGTTTCCACAGACTAATCAGGCAGCCCGCTAGCCGAGTTTCTGTTTTGGTAATTATCTTGTACTAATTAGAATGAAGCTAAAGACCTCTGAGATGAATTCTCTGCTTTCTGAAATGTAACTAAAGAAAATGTAATGATACAAAATGAGCCTGTTCTATACATCTCCTCGGACGTAATATCTTGGTTAAAGTGACCCGATTGGATGTGGTATTGTAGTTGTGATCCCTTTCTTTACAGACCAATCCAACAGATAATGATAGTCACCTTTTGTCTCTCCTTAAGAAAACATCCATTAGCCCAATTAATCACCAAGCGTTAGAGGAGACGGCTGCTTACCTTGCGCCTCTCCCCGTTGAAGCCTCTCCATTGCTCCGCCTTCTTGACAATGTAGCTCAGTTCCTGATTGGACAGCTCCAGGTCTTGAGGCAGGAAGTAAGTTCCCTCCTTGGCTGTGAGGCGCTGAAAGACATCCAGCATGCGCCCATCGTTGTGAAATCTGGAAGGGGAGAAAATAAGTGATGAGGGGGGGGACGCAGTGACGGCATTCTGAATCACAGCCCTGTAAAGGTCACATGGGGTCAAATGCCAAAGCAAGGAAACGCATGCACATTTGTTTTAATGGTTATAATCACAGCTAACTAGCTCTGTGGCTAGCTCCTAGCATCATGTATTGTTTTCATATTGGCTGGCTTATACTGTATGGAGCAGGTCAAATCACAGTGATCCCAACTTGCTGGAAGAACTTCTATTGATTAGACACTACAAAAGTCTAATGCATCGATACAAACACAATGAGAGAGCAAAAGGAATCAAACAAATTGGCCCGTGAGTAGGAAGCACTTTGTAAAGACAAGCTGCAGCGCTGGCTGTGTGTCTGCGCGGTGGTACATCTGTTACTGTGTGGGAGTCAGATCCTGGGATAGTCTTCAGTGTTATTGCCAAGCTTCAAAGATGGCAACTGCAATGGACGTGCTGGTTGCAGATGTGTCTGGAGAGACCGGCCTGAGTCACAAGAAAACGTTAGGCGAAGCAGAAGGCGTATTGATTCATATCTCCCGATGAGCGCACACCACCAAAGTGTTGCTTTTCTTTTACCACACAAGGGTGCACGCAGCCAACCCCTAAAAAGAATCACCATGTCTGTAAACAAATGCCTTGGCTGACCATCAAAACCAGCAGACCTTTCGCCCTTCCATAGAGAATCTATCCTGTCAGAGGGTAATCAACTCTCAAATAAAACCAACATCAAGGAGACGGGGATTTATACGAGAAGCTGGTGTGGAGCTTTGAACTCAGCATCATTCCCCATCGCTCTTGGGAGAAGGATGTTTGTAGAATGTTGACCTCAGACACAGGAATAGCATGCATTCATTTTCATCCTACACTTGAATTGCGCTTCTCATTCATTTATGCGCTCGCTTTCTTGGAGGAAATCAGCATCTTTGCATCTTTGGACTTCAAAACTGGCTGATTTCCTTGGTGTTGGGAGTGCTCTGAATTTCAGTATATGTAACTTATATAGGGGGTCCGACCTTGATGATAAGGCTTTCCTTTAGTGGAGGGGTCACCTTAAGGACATGTTAACTTATGGAATACATTTGAACAGAATATTCATCATTAGCAGCGTGGATAGAAATGGAAGGGCTTGTTTGTGTGGGAAAAGCATTACAACTTAATTATTGATGCAGTGTTTTCTATCTTTGACTATGATATTTATATTTTATTGGCAAACTATTAAAAGAATTGCCCTACCTCCCAATCCCATGCCAACGCTCATGCATTTACTATAAATATCAGCTGTTAATCTTTAAGAAGAGGTGATCCATGAGTGATTTTGTGATGGTAAGGCTATGTCCAGGTGTAAACTGTACATGCACACTTGAGAAGGACATCACTTGAGTAAGAGAATGCTAATTAAGTATCTTTTTAGTTTTTGAACCTTGTAATCATTTGCATGTATTTGCACCACAACTCAATTTTTTGTATCTATGAAGTTTCAAAAAGTATAGAGATGTAAAGCACATCACTGATGTGTATATTTGCAGCCAGTGAATAAAGGCTGCCTAAAATGTAATTAAAAAAGGATAACAGTCCATTCTATCTATACATATAGCCAGAGGCGTTTTTTTAGAAATAGGTCACGCTCTGTGTCAGAGCCCCCTTCCTTTGCAGCCAATAGGAAACTGTAACCCATAAAATTATCAGCCTTGCTTCAGCCTCGTGGCCTACATTCAATACAAACCAGCGTGGCGGTTGAGTGGCAGAAGTCATTATTCCCCGCTGCTGTTTTAATATTGTCCATTTAGTCGGAGCCCGATAAGCGTCCCGCTTACTGAAATGAGATGGTACCCTCTCCTCGGCCGCCAATCTCAAACTGATTAATTCAATAAGGGTTTTCTTACATTTTGAGCCGTTAATGGAATTTGGTCCTATATGGGGGTGGGAGAACACACCTTGGAAGAATACTGAGTTACATTATTCAGTAATCTATCACCCGCCCTTCTACTTTTTTACTACCATGCTGAAAATAATGATGTCCTTCTATTATTTAAAAAGTGCAATAGTCATCTTTTAAGCCTGGAATTTGGAATTAGTAGTTCTGCGGTGCATGTTTAAGTCCACCCTCCCATTGCAATGCAGTGCCAATCTCCTGTCATTTTCTGAAACGGAGACAGAAGATAATGTTTGACTCAACGCTGACTAAGAACTCTAGTCACAGAAGCTCCATGAAGGCTTGGTAGAAAAGAGTCTGAGGTGCTAAAACATATCACAAACAAAAAGTAAATGGTTCAGCATGGGCGACCTCAAACTGCAAGACATGAGGTGAAGACACGGTGAGATACAGTGTGTGTGTTCCCCACCGTGTAGATGTCCATTTCCATATGTATGAAACCTGCAGTGATACCAACCATGAAAAACATTCCGTCTAATCAGATAGTGTAAGGGGGCTATACGTTCACGCTATATCAAAACACATCACAATTTTGGATTAAGAACGCTATAACATTTTCCGACCAATTGCAGAGTATGGTGTTTTCGTAACTGTGTTGTGTATTTCTGCTTATGTGTGTGTAGATGTGTGAGGTTGATGCATAACTGCATGAGTAATTCTTTGGGACTAAAAAATCAAAATGGATTAGATCAACATTTGTTTTCATTTTCTGCTTATTTTTTTTGTGCTTTTCTGTGAATAGAGGAAATAAATGGTGGACGGTGGATATGGCACGAGGCTGCGGGGTTGGACGGTTCGGAGTTGTTTCTGAACGGGTGTTTGAGAGTAGGAGGCCACAGAAAGGGTCTTCCTTGTCATTGAAAGACTTTCCATCAAGTCTGATATCATAAAATCCATATAATATCAAGATACATAAACATATTGTTATTGTATTGTTGATGTAGTGAAGATTTCTGCTATTGAAACATATTTCTCTACGTTTTAATCATGTTGGAGGTCATGGATCCAACATGCCGTTTATTCACAAGTTTTACCAAATTATCGGATTTGTTTTCCGTCCCCGCCTTCCTGCACATCTGACCTGAGCATGTTGATGAAGAGGATGGTGACGGACAGCAGGAAGATGACTGCATAGAGGAAAAGAGTGATGATCACTCCCGCTGCACCTGATTGGTCAACTCTGAAGTAGTGCCAGTAAAGCTTGGCTGCGTCTCCCACCGGTGTGTCTGGGCTGTAGGCGAGACGCTGAGGAGACAGGGAATAAAAAAAAAGAAGGAACAAAACAGACATATATGGATAACTGTTATACAACCGGACATTTGCAATATGGTAAAGCTCTTGCCCGGGACTACGATGTATCAGAAAGATCACATGATGGCTCAAGGACCGAACACTGGTCAGCTGGTGCTCCTCTCCCTCTACATAGAATACAATCCCAAATGCAACAAAATGTATAACTTAGCAATAAGTACCAAAAAGAAGGAGTTATTATAAGACACCATTCCAATGCCATTTCATTAACCTCATGTCAAGAGTCCAAATCAATCAGCATCTTCGTCTCTTGAACTGTCACAATGAAATCAACCGCTAAAAAAAGACACCCATCCAACCTTGCACATTTTCATTCTCACCCAACGCCCTCCCCCTCTTTTTTTTTGTTATCTAAAGTCACTTTGCCAAGATAAAGTGAACTCCTATTTAAAGTGCACAAGTGTCCAAGTTATTTTTAAGTGACTTACCCCGAGGACGGCGTCCACCGCAAAGACGGCCAGGGGGTCGAGGACTGTCCACACTCCCTGAGCCATGATAAACTTTGACGTGAAGGAAGGGAGTGAGCCAAATATCTGTTGACAGCCACATCTGATCAGAACCAGCAGGAACGTTGCTGCGTTCAAGGTCAGGGGACCCACCACCACCATCGCCAGCTCCTCCCGGGTGTGCAGCAGAGAACTCTGGTACACCAGGTCCACCGTGTGTGCGTGGAACTGGAATCTGGAGGGAGAGGAAACGGAGGCGGGTGACGTGTGAAATGTGTGCATGTGTCAATATGCATGTGGTAGATTTGTGATGCTTTCTAGAGGCAATTCACAAACTGTTGCTAGTGGTTGATTCAATCATATTCAATTAGTTTGATGACAATTAAGGTTGTATTCGGCTGTTTGCTAGTACATGCTGCCCTTACTGGTCAAATGTGATGTGTTTATAAGATAATCTGTGTATTTATATCAAATTAAACTTAAAATAAACGGACAGACGCTACAATAATATTAACACCTGAGAGCTTTTGTTATCCAGACTCCCCATTTACCGCAAGCCTCATGAGCTCCTTAATCTTCCCATCAGTCTGGAGGAGAAGTCCAGTTTTTGCTCATTAATTTCCATCTGATTTGCTCCAAGAGTCAAGCGTCTCTCAGATTCTGTCCATTAATCTGACAGTGGAGGTCCATTGGTGTTTTATCTGAAGCAGATCTACTAACACACACATTTAACCCTATAAAACACCTCACTGAATGACCGGTGCAGACAGAAAGGTTTTTTTTTCACTCTGCAGGTTTCTATTTTTCCAGATAAATTGCATTGCTAAATCTCATTTCAAGACTGACAGGGGAATATTTCATTTATAGAGAATCGTGATTTAATACAATGAAAGTTTCCAGTTCAATAACTTGTAACAGCATTTTGACATTGGCAGCATCGTCCCATATCAAATACTGACGGTCATCATTCCATATTAAATCACATTTTGTATCTCTTAAATGTGATGTGTGACATTTCAAAACTGCAGGTGGTACTTGGTTATGTAATGGATTGAGCATGTGACCTGCTATTCCCTGGCCATGTGGATCTGGATTAGTGGTAGGATCTAATTTAATTATAGCAAAATATTCAATAAAAGAAAAAAAGCTAGAATTATTTTTTATTTACAAGAGTAAAATAAAATGAGCACATATTACATTACATTGTAATATATAAATCAAATACCCAACATGACAAAATCGTATTTGCAATAAATAAAGCTAAAAATACACTGCTTACAGCTTGATGCATAAACAGTCTATTAATTAATTTAAATATACCACTTACAGGTACATGTGCATTTGTGCATGATGAGTACTTTTACGTCCGCTTTTGAGCACATGACTTGTACTGTAGTAATTTTAGACTGTTGCATTATTGTGTTAGTATATGAAAGTGCAACAAAAAAGAAAGGAGTTCTCTAGGTGACTGAAGGAACATTGGGGCCAGAGACTCCGTGGCCCCGGGGCACACTTTGCTGTCCACTGATGTCCAAGGATGGATTATGGGAAAGCAGGAGAGAGAGAGAGAGAGAGAGAGGAGGAGAAACAGAGAGGGAGGGAGGCCTGTCACACACACCCCCGCCTCTGAGCCTGTCACTTGGCCTCTCTCTCTCTGAGCACCACCAGCTCCGGCCATGGCATGGAGAGAAATGCTCCGAGGGAAAGCAGCAGATTTGGACATGTGGAAGTTGTCATCCGACGTTGACCCCCTCTGTTTTCGCAATTTGGTTTTTTCACCTCCCGTACAGTACACCCCCTCAGTCCATTTAAAAAAAAAATATTCCGCCACATTTTTTCTTATGTCAGCCATCACTTTCCATGATTTAATGTTTGCACCGCCATGTTATTGCAATAAAAAGCTGCCTGTATGCATGTTTGCAGCCAGCTTGTTTTATTGTGATGAATTAAATCAGCACCACATGCTATTGAGATGTGATTTAACAGTTCTGTGGTGTCTTATTGCTGTTCATTATCAATGCCGTGTAACAAATAATAAAAATAAATTCCTTCCAAATAATGTAGCCTTTTGGGACTTGAAGCTGTGCGGTGAAATCAGCAAACTCCCCCAGCAATGGTTTGTTAATATTGAGAGAGTCTTGTTAAAATGTTAATGGGGGGATTCCAAACAGATGATTTGGGGCGGATCCATTGTGTGTGTGTGTGTGTGCTTGTTTGCCAACACACACACACACACACACACACACACACACACACACACACACAGACAATGCACATCCTCTTTCTCTCATTTGCTCCTTGACCCCGCCACATCCCATTTTACCACCATATTTTGCATGTGTGTACTACGAGCTTGCACGAACTTGTGTGTGTATCTGGAATTTGCATATGCGCTTCTATGCATGTGTCTGCCCCCTGTTTAAAAGATTTATGTCAGCAGTGATGTTTGTGCTTAAAAAGTGTTGTGCTCTATGTATCTCTATCCATAGGCTCCACTACGCCCATTTGTGTGTGTGTGTGTGTGTGTGTGTGTGTGTGTGTGTGTGTGTGTGTGTGTGTGTGTGCAGGGTGATATCAAAGGAAGCAAACTCACTTGTTGACAGGAACTGCTATGGCCTGGAGGTAGAGCCACTGGCTGCAGTAATGCAGGTAGAGCCTCACAAACCACATCAAAGCCAGCAGCAGCATAATGAGGCCGAGCTGCCGAACGGAGCCACGCCAGCTACTATGCGGCTGTTGTTGCCCCGGCAACGGCAGGCCCAGCTCGGACGGCAGCATGCGCAGGGCCAGGCGGGCTCGCTCGGACAGGCGTGAGGGGCGGGAGGCGGCTCCAGGCAGCGCTGATCTGTTTTTAGACAGAGGAGAACCGACATTTCTCATAATAATATGCATTCAAATAGTTTGACAACATGGTAGCCTATCTACGTAACAGTTCCTGTACACATGTGGCAGTGTCGGTAAAGATTATATTTGAAACAGGGTACATGCTATTTAAAATTAGGTGGGCTACAACACTTGATGTTTATGTATCTACGTTTTAATTCCCAGTGCAATCACTTCCTTTCCCATGCATTACACAGAGAGAGTAGTATTCAAATGCATTGTCTTTACCCTCATCAGATGCATGCAATGAATAATAGGTAGGGAAATGTAGTATTCAAATTGACACACATCCACACATGCACACACAAACAGATAGGAATCCCTTCCAGCAATGCGCAGCTTCCCTCAGCACCTCTGCCTCCTCTGTGCCGCCCTTTGTCAGGCCTGCTCAGCTATTCCCTTTCATATACAGGGCACAGATGGAACAGTGGAGATGAGTGGAAACGAAAGCAGAGGAGAGGAGAAAAAACAAGCTACAATGGGCTTCTAACAGGCCCGCCTTAAACATGTCATACATAGCAGTGTGTGTGTGTGTAGTAAATTAGTGTTCATTGTAAGGATGTGCATACAAATCAATTGACTATAGTTCGAACATGTCAACAAAAGCAGACACAGATGACCCCAATCGTCTGCTGGCAGTAATTAGGCGCAGGCTAACGTAGGTGTGTACATTAGCGCGCAGTTAGCATCACAGAGTGTGACTTTAGGCCGTAGCCTGTGGACATCCCTGCGCCTCACCACTGTGTCCCAGAGCACAGTTGGAATTCACTTTGTAGTGTGTATCTAGGGAAATTGATACACTGCCTTAAGACGAAAAAACAAGAAAAAAGGAGAATCAATTGTATTGCCCCCCCCCTTTCTCTCCTTACCAAATAATTAGGCTAGACTTGCATCAAAATGCAGCATTGTGTTTTCTCCTCTTGCATTGCTGCTGGATTATGAACAGCTGTGTTTAAAACAAAAGGGATCATCTTTCCTGTTCCTGTGAGGTGGGTACACGCACACTCTGAAGTGTTTATCAAGTTACTGAGAGGATGCACACGGGTGTAGTGTACGGTACTCTCGGGAGAACTCATTCAGAAAACTCTCAGTCAACAGTTTGGGGTGATAAATATTCATAGCTCAGCTGAAATAAAATCGAGCAGAAAGGATAAACATCTGGCATAAAAGTCAGATACCGGTCAGTTCAATGGTTGACATTTTACATTATAGTACAATTCTAAATGAACAATGCATATAAATACTCTATATAGCTTGTGTGAGGTCAGTAAGATGCTATAGAAGATAGTGTATGCAGGGGGCGTGTACATTGCATCTGATGCTGTTTCATTACATGTAAATTAAATCCTCTGAAGGCATTGTTTACTGTTTTTACCGCACTATTAATGTTGCATGAGAACAGTATGTGGTAAAGGAACAGACTGCTCTTTATTATGGGATGCTACTGCCTCCATATTAATGAATAGCACTGGCAATGAAGATAACTCTTCATTACGTAACCACTCTGGATATTTACTTCGTGAATATAAGAAGCCATAAATGATACTTTAGATATACAGCAGATCTTGCAAATTAAATACATGGGATTTTAGATCTGATCTTGCATAATACAGCAAACACAAAAACCAAGAACACTCGTCTCATGTCTTGTTTCCTGTTTTATTTTGTAAAGAAACTCTCCTTGTGTCTTGTCTTAATATCACTTCCTGTCTTTGTTTTCCCGCCCTTTTGTGATTGTTTGCTCTGCCCTGATTCTATCCACCTGTGTGGAATCACCTTCAGCCCTTGGGATTTAGTTTCTGTTTGTTTATATGCCAGTGTTCTTTGTGAGTTCCTTGTCAATATTCCCCTGCTATGATGCTGCTCGCTTAGTTTCATTAGCATTAATACCCAGGTTTTATTAAAACTCACAATTTGTGTATTCGTGAATCAGTTTTTTTGTACTGCGTTAGCCTTCCTTGCCCCACTTCTGACACTGAACATGTGCTATTCCAGTGTCAAATGTGAGTTTATCCCTGATTTTAAGCGGTAATGCAAACCAAAAGATCATAATGTACAAGAAATTGCATGTCTCTGCTTCTCTTTTGTGATTTTAATCCAAGCTTTTTCACCACTTGCTTCACTGTGTGGTATGAAACTGCTTTCCGCATGTTCGCAAAAAGTGGAATTACAGAGTAGACAAAAAAGCAGCGAGTCACAGACACAGGCAAGATGCTAGCCTGTCAAGTGGCATTAAACAGAAACAGCAAACACAACCTGACGCACATCTTTCACATAATGAAGATATTGATGATGCATGAAAGAGGAATATTTTTAGCCGTCTTCATGTGGCGGCCTCTTCCAAAGGAAACTGGTAACATGATGTGAAATCTGTTATCACCACTGAATTGATTTCATTATGGCACCTCCAATTACAAAAGTACAATGTAGGAAAAAGAGGGGAAGGCAGGGGGTGGAGGTGTGGGCTTCTTTATCTTGCAGGATATTTCACAGCTTGTCCCCTGAACGACTGATAGTATGTGGCGTAACGGCCCACAGATGAAACTAACCATTTAAACAGGCATGCTTTGGCACATAATACTATATTTTTTTATTGTATGATTGTGTGAAATCTGGGCCAGGAGCTGTTCCCTCATTATTTCAGTTTTGATTTGTTTGTTGTTAATTCCCACGTCATCAAAGCACGTCGCGAGAGGACTCATCCCTCTCCATAAACCTTTCTACAGAGTGTCAAAGCCTGTAAATCAGATTTAACTAGCGTATATGTGCCAACCATTGGAGCAAGAAGCATGTCCTGGACTGGTTTTCCCAGGCTGTGTCCCTTAATGTTGTGCGGCGTGACATAACGGGAGCTGTGCTCTTAAAAATAGCACAGAGTGAATATCAAGTATAGACAAGTATTAAACCTCAAACACGGCATGGGTAATGAGAGATGGAGGGGGCGGGGGGGAGGAGAGGAGTACAGTGGGGTGTTTTTAAATAGCAGATTTATGGCGAGGTGGCTCCGGGGCCGAGGAGACTGAAGGTAACAATCCCTCTGCAGGGCCCTGATGGCTTAAACCCTCCAGTCTGAGGCCACTTCAAATATTGGACTTATCCCTTTTATTTTGAGGATTAAGTTATTTTCTGTCACTTTCTTATTTGGGCCACCGGCATTGTTTATAAATGCACACGTCTTTCCCCACATCGTCGGAGGATGTCTTGCTGTTGGGGAAAAGATACAGTGTGGAAATAGAGTTAAAAGATTGACGGATAACGTGATTGTTTTCTTAGTGGCCCAGATGCACGAGTGTTGTGGTGATTATGGAAGTGAGATTAGCTTAGGTGTCAAGAGATAGGACTGAAGATACCTCTTCTTTGTTTACATTTCATTTTTGAAGAATGCTGATAATGCTTTTGTTTTGGATAGTGACAGTATCAGTCATCCGTCCTGAACTGGCTCACTTCTGAGGCGCACATATGAGCTATATATTGTATTTTAATATTATTTTAGATGGTGTTTTCACTTTTAGTCTTTGAATGTCGTTTAAAAATAAATATCATCTTAGCAGACCATATCTGATAACAATATTCAGTCTTTAGCAAGCTGTTTGTTTTAAAGGCCTTAAAGGGGACCTATTCTTCTCATTTGCAGGTTCATATTAGTATTTAGCGCCTCGACTTTGACATGTTTACACTACTTAGCTCTAGCCAATAGAAGTGCAAGTGTTACCTATTGATGTCACTATGGAAGTAAACAAAGGACTACAATCGAGGAGTTTCAGGGAGAGAGAAACTCCCTCTCGAGGGAACTTTGAGATGTTAGCCTTTGCAGACCATTTACATGCACAAAAACCTATAACACACACTACAGGAAAGAGAAAACCCCAAAAGCATAATAGGGCCTCTTAATATAAAAAGAAAACATGCCATCGAAGAGCTAAATGCTATATCAGCTAGCCAGAAAACACGGATATCATTTAATATTTGCACCAATAACCTATAGGTCAACCCACAAAAAGAAAGTTAGCTAGTGGAGCACTTTATCAACTATATTGCATAAGCATACCCAATAAAGTTACTGTATGTATGCCAATAATCCAAGTTGCATCATGTACAGATGCTGCAGTCATAGAGGCCTAACTGCCTATTCATTGCATTTATGCAGAAGCAAACAAGATTACGTAACAATTGGCATGGCAGAGCTTTCGTACAGGTGGGGAAAATATAATACAGGAAGCTATGAAACATCACAAATAAAACTGCTCCCACAAGATGCATTAAATGATAATCATTGGTTACCAAGCTGGTATCATTTTCCAAATCACCTCGATTGCGTGTGTGCATAAAAACAAGTTGAACAGAGCAGCAGTATATGCCCACAAGGCTTTTGGATAATTGAGTCATTTTTATATCATCTTGTGAGAAGTTTTATTTATACTGGAAAGAATGTTTATGAAAAAAAGCTTCCGATTCAACTTTCTGGAGCTCCTTCTCTCTCTTGTAATTGTATTTGTTCCAAGAACAATTACCATTTGGGTCTTTTTACAGAGACCCTGGCAAAGGGAGAATACACATAAATGAGTTTCATTGACAAAATAGGAGCACAGTGGCAGGTATTTGGGGAGTAGTTAAAGAGAATTATGTAACAGTGACTCAGCTGCAGTACTGGAGTCCATCATCATGTAATTAAAACAGAACGATGCACCTCCAAATGATCAGAATTATTTGCAGCAGAGTGGAGGGGAGCACAATCAGAAGCAGGAACACATTAATGTTCCACTTAATTAGGAATCCATGTTTGACTAATAGTTGGCTGCTCGTTTTTACAATGCAGGGGGGGGGGGCGGCATAATGGAAAAGGCCATGATTGCTATGTGCTGTTGATCAGCAAGCAATGGATTAGATGCAATGCTGGCACAGAATGGCAAGCTTGTAAAAATGTTGCACTGCTGATTGTATCATATTTAATGTGAAACAGTG